AAATGCAGTTGTCTAGATTGCTTTCTCTTTTTAAAATCAGAACTGAATAATATTTTTTAAATAATGAAAGGAAAGGAATTTTGAGAAATGGAGTGGTAACATAGCCTTACACATGCTTTTTCTTGATGCTTAAAAAGAGATTTGATTAAAATTTATTAAGACAGGGCCAACTCCGGGGCTTGCTGTTAACTGTAGTGAAGCCCTTGATCCTCAGCTTTCTGCACCTGCAGTCTCCTCTCACCAAGGAGAAAAACACTGTGCCCCACTGAGCAGCCTGCTCCCAGACAGTGTCAGCTGCTACTGGAGAGAAGAAGGAGCATTGAGTTTTCAAGTGTATACATATATTTGAATATAGATTGAAATATACATATTTAAAATACATATATATGCATTCATTCCATGACCAAGAAGGAAATTCTGTGCCCCCACAATTGACAAATTAGATTTGGTTAAAAGTAGTAAGGTAAAACTGAAATATAATTTTCACTATACTTTTACTGATTTATATTTCTATCTCGGCATCTTTAAGGTTGACATTCCTGGCGTTGTGTAATGATTGAATGTATCTAAATTGTAATAATTTAAAATTGACAAACATGTAAACTGCTCAGATTTATAAAACTATGTTGTGAAAATCTTCCTGAAGATACAGATTTTTATTATTTATTTTCTTTTGGGACTAGGAAGGATTTATAAATAAATGTAATGGAAAATCTTTGATCTTAATAAAGTATCTTCAATCAAAAAAAAGAAATTGTGCATATGGATGTATAACTTAGAAAGATATGGGCTGGAAATATGCCTTTGAGCATCATTGTTCATTTTGTCTGTCTGTAATCCCAGGGTTCCATCATTGTATGTCCCCTGCCCCCGTCTCCCTGTCTCTGCCTCCACCTTCCATGTTTTACTGTTTTATCGATCATTCCTTGGTGCTTTCAATGTACTGCCTATATAGACAATATCTGACAGATTAAAGACAGTATCTGATACTGCCTGTACATGTAAACTATGGAGACAGTGCATGAAATCATATAGGATGAATCTATAAAATAGAGAAATGGAAAGATCGTGAGAGCACACATGAGACCCTAGGGACTCCTGATTTTTTTACACACACATACATAACACAAACACAAGCTTACAGAAAGTAATAAAATTTACAGAGGAATGGAGAAAATAGAAGCACAGAAGTGTAAGGCTAAGAGAGGGAATCTAAATATAATCTAAGAGAGAGAAGAATTTTAAGAATGGCCGGTTTGTCTGGGTATGGTAGTGCATGTCTGTAATCCCAGCACTGGGGAGGCTGAGTGAGTCAGGAGGACCCCCATGAGCTCAAGGACAGCCTGAGCTAGTTAGTTAGCAAAACCCTGTCTAAAAATAAATGACCAGGTTGATTTTTTTTTTTTTTTGGTGCCGGGGATTGAACTCGGTACCTTACGCTTAGGGAGGCAGGCGCCAGAACCACTGAGCTAAATCCCCAGCCCCCAGTTTGATTTTTTAAAATATCATGGAAGGAAAGAATTGAATAGTAAAGGAGTTTTCATTGAGTATTTATATTATTACTGGATATTGATACTATTAATGGCTAGAAATTTTATCAAGGAAGTCTTAAGTTGGATTGTGGGTTGAAGAATAAATGGGAAGTAAAAAGGAGAAATATTTTAAACTATGGAATTTAGAACTTTCCCTTTGAGCAGTAGAGGACTATTATAAATTTTTGACTTAAAGAATTATATGGTTAAAAGTGTTGTTTTAGGGAACTCTGGTGCTAGCATTCACAATGGATTATTATAAGATCAAAATGGCAAGAAAGACCAGTTATTAGAGCAGTGATGATAAATGAAAAGGAAACAATAACAAGGGAAAGATTCTACAGCAAAAAAGTCTTACTATTCTGTGATAGGCAACAACACTGAGGTGCCACATGAAGGATTTTAGGCTAGTGGCAAATAAAGAAATCAAGGAAAGGAATTGGTTTGGGGAAGACAGTGATAACCTTTGTATTAAGTTTGATTTGAATACAGAACATTTGTCTAGAAATGAAACTTGAGCTGCTGAGAATCGTAATACTTGGTATTTGGGCTCCAATGTGACCTCATAGTTATGATCATAAAGGTAGCTGAGGATTAAAGGGAGTACTTTTGATAGCTGAGCTTTTAAACTTAGGGTATATAAAGCTTCAAGGAGGTCTGAAATTACGTATAGAAGTTCATGAATATAAATTTTTTTTGTTTTGAAAAATTGAGTTTCTTGTGATTCCCAGAGTCTGTGACTCCAGAGGGTAAATCCATTGCTAGAGAGTGAAGCAGGTGACTGATCATAGAGGTAAGACTAAGAACCAAGATAAAACTAGGGTTGAAAGTTGCAAAAAATGATAGTACAGGGAAACATAATAAGAACTGTTAAATTAGATATTTAAAAAACCTAAAAAGGTACAGATTCATATTGTACTATGTCACCAGAAGTACTCTGCATTCTATAGATCCTATAGAATTTACAGTATATTAATTGATCCTTATCATGATGGCCTGAGAATTAAGAATTGTTTTATAAACAAGATTTTAAACTGAACTTCAAATGTTTTACTTTTTAGTATTCTGTAAGATCTGAAAGGTTATTGATTAAACAATGCTAACTAAAAAAAAGAATTGTTTTATAGACTTTGTTGATGGCAAAAAAAAATATTACACAGAATATTTACCATGATTTTAACCCAGGAGCTAATGTAATATATAAAAAGCATAAGATGTTTATTCTCCAGAATGATGTTATCAGAGCATTTCAGGGCCCCCCCCCCTTTTGGTACTGGGGATCAAACTGAGAACCTTGCACTTGTGAGGCAGGCGCCAGCACCACTGAGCTAAATCCTCGGCCCCATTTCAGGCCTTTTTAAATTTTACTGATAAAAATTTGTTGCCAGTACAGTATTACAGTAGGGTTTTATAGTTGGTTGAAGTAACTGGTTTGTGCCAAGTCAAAGATTTCATTTTCATGCAGGCCTCTTGAATTTTATGTTTCCTGGGCATCTCTTAATATAGGATGTTGACAGACAAACCTGAACTACAATTATCAGGACTCTAGATTAAGGGCAAATAATTCTGGTAGTGCCCATAAAAAATGTATGATCTTGGGCCAGGGATTTAGCTCAGTGGTGCTGCCACCTGCCTTGCAAGAGCAAGGCCCCAAGTTCGATCCTCTGTAGCAAAAAAAAAAAAGTATGATCTTGCTAAATTGAGGTATCTCTAGTCATTCCAAAAATGTACTTTTTTCCTTATTTGATAAGGTAAGTATTTGCTAAGGTGATATACCTGTTGGAGATACATTTTATTGTTTTACTAGTATCAAAATTACTTGGAGTTCAAAATTAATAGTAGTTCATTGAATTAAAAAGTCATCATTTAGACATCTTTTGGGATCTTGAGGGCAGGAGAATACCAAGTATTTTAATTAAGCGTTGTCATTTTTAATAGTTTTAATTTGCCATCCACTTTGCTCTTAATGTATTAAGAAGTAAAAAGAATCATTCTTTACTTATGCCAATCCAGCAGGAGATTGTTCTTTATGACTATTTTGAATTACTGCTTTTTCTTTACTATGGGAGTTAAATATGAAATGATAGACAATTTGGTTTAGAAAGTTTCATAATGAGGCATTAGGTATCTTTTTGCCTTTTTACAAAAGCTGTTGTATAGGCAGTGGCTTAAAAAGTATTTCTTGCTGAGTGTTGTGGCATGCACTTGTAATCTCTGCTACTCAGGAGGCTGAGGGAGGAGGATCCCAAGTTTGAAGCCAGGATGGGCATCTCAGCAAAATCCTGCCTCACAGTTGAGCTACAAAGGGCCGGGTATATATACATTTCAGTATTAAAGCACTTGCCTGGCATGCCTGTGGCCCTGGGTTCAACCCCCACTACCAGAAAAAAACAGAATTTAAAAAAGGGAGATTTCTTAAGTGGCTGCATTTGTATTAGTGTCATAGATTAGGAAAGGAAATTAGAAGGTTTTATACTTCTATGATTAATTTCTCTGTGCAGCATCTGCTTTTTCTCTGCTTCCAGTATCATTTACATGTATATCTTTTAAAGAAATCTACATTTCTAAGGCAAATAATACAGTATTGTTCTTTTTCGGGGATGTAAGGTGGTTCACTTATTGTGTGTACCTTGTTTTTATTGCTATTAGATTAAAACAGAATTTTCAGGAAATGTGCATTTATCTTCTGTAATCTCTTAACAGTGCTGTCCAATAGCAATATAGTGTGAGCCACATAGGCAATTTAAAATTTTCTAGTAGCCATATTAAAAGAAATAAAAACAGCTGGGGATTTAGCTCAGTGGTTCTGCCGCCTGCCTTGCAAGTGTAAGGACCCGAGTTCAATCCCCGATACCAAAAAAAAAAGAAATAAAAACAGGTAAAATTAACATTGTTTACTTCAATATATTCAAGATATTATTTTAACATGCAATCAATACAAGAATCACTGAATTTTTTTCTTTTGTTTTGGTGGTATGGTGCCAGGGATTGAACCCAGGGCCTTGCACTTGCTAAATAGGTGCTCTACCACTGAGCCACATACCCAGCCCTTACTTTGTATTGTTTTTGAAGTCCAGTTTATATTTTATACTTATAACCTGCCTCAGTTTGGATTAGCCACATTCCAAGTGCTCAGTATCCATATGTGGCCAATGGCTACACTATTGTACCAGTCAGGTCTATAGAATCAGAACAGATTCTTAGTTTCTGGATAGATGGACAGGTAAAAAGAGTTTATCTTATATAAATTGGATTTGGTGAGTTTAATAACTAGTCACCGTAACTCAATAATGTTGTCATTTATAAAGATACTTGAAACAGGCTTTTTATTTTTCTCATTGGAGGAAATATACAGGGGATATTGAGTAGATAGAATTTTTAATACCTGAATTGTATGATTGAATTATTTTTACTTTATATACTTGTTCATGCTTCCATGAAATTTCAGTGTATATTTATAACCTTTAGCATAAATGCAGCTCCAACTACAATGAAGATTTTGTGCTACAGCTAGAGAAGGAATTGGTTCAAGCCCGACTGAGTGAAGCTGAGTCTCAGTGTGCACTAAAGGAGATGCAAGATAAAGTCCTGGATATTGAGAAGGTAAGAAACTACTGTATATAAATGCTGTCTGCTGTACATAAATGCTGTCTACTCCTAAATTAGACAAGAGATATGGTAGGTATTTATTACTTACTGAGCAGTCAAATTGGACTTGGTATTTTTACATTTAAAAAATCTTATATATTGGTGCTGGGAGTGTAGCTCAGTGGTAGAGCACTTGCCTAGCAATCTCCACCAAAACACATACACACATACACACACACAGCATATTAGAAACTAAGAGAGCAAAGAAAAACAATTTTTAAGATTGCCAATTCTTTGTTGTTTCCATAGTGATCCAGGCCCCGTATTTAAGGTTAAAAATGGAAATTAAAGTCCTTTTAGAAGAAAAGGACCAGGATAATTTTTATGGGAAGAATATTTAAATGTTAAGAGAGACTTAGAAGACAGAAATCAATTTTCCTCAAATATTGTATTATCTTTTGTAAAATAGATGAGACTAATACATAGACATTCTGGGGAAACTTTTTCTGAATGTAGTTGCTAAAACTCTCCAAGCTAGAACAAGTTACCTCAGGATATATAGGAAATTCCCCTTAGGCTGAGTTGTACTTATTTATAAAAGTTAACTTCTTCATGATATTACAGAATATCAAGGCCTAGATAAGTAGTGGAACAAGAAAACCTTTTTGGTTTTTTATAATCCTTAGATCTGAGCATCTGTGTGCTAGATCACAAACTCCTTGTTTTCTTATCCGTAAAATGATTGACTGCTTGGGCTCTATGTTGAGTTTGTTCTTTTTCACCCATAGGTAATCTCTAACTATTGAGTCAAGAAGGCTCCATAGATAACGGACATAAAATCTGTTGTTCTTACCTATTTCTTAGTGAAATAGAAGTATGACTAGAATCAGTAGTGGAATAATTTTGCTAGATAATCTGCTTGCTATTTGTATATTATGTAGCAGATTCATTCTCTGATTTGTTGTGAAAAATTAAGAAATAATGTTACTAGAAATACCTAATAGAATATTTGGTCTAACTTCAGAGTGGTATTCTGGGCACTTTGATTTATGTAAGAATATAAATTTTGCAATTTTTAGCAAGCCTTTCATTATTTTATACAAAGGGTCCAGTTCAAAACTGCATTTCTTGCCGAAGGGCAGTGGCATACACCTATTGTTCTAACTACTCAGGAGGATGAGGAAGAAGGATCACTTGAGTTCACAGCTAGCCTGGGCAACATAGCAAGACCCTGTCTTGAAAGAAAGGAGTGGGGAAAGGAGGAGGGAGTAAAAAAGGGAGGGAGGGATTTTAAAAATTGCTATGTTGATACTCATGTTTTAGAGTAGAAAGAAAATTGGAAGGTTGCATTATGGTTAATTTCTTTGTGTGACATTGTCTTTTTCTTGTAGTAGTCTTCTTAATGCATAAACAATAATTTTATAATTTTCAATTAAGAAAATATTTAAGTCCATCATAAGATGTGTTAATTTATGAGAATAACTTTATTCCATAACTCTTGCATGCTAATATTCGTGTCTATTTTAGAGATTGAAAACTAGAATCAGGCCTTAAAATCTCAATACCATAGTACCTTAGTTTGCCTAGGGACTTTTCCCTGGGGCCTAATTAAATCTCTTGGTAACTCTCCAGAGTAATTCAATACTATACTACCCACATGGGTCTTATAGCATGGTAAAAAATTGCCCCAAATCTTGTATTCATGAAATAAATATTTAGATCACCTAGTCCACATAGACTTGGACTGTTCTTTTCTTTCAATCTTTAAGATGTAAATGATGTTCATCACACTTCATTTGGAGTTCTAATGAGAGCTGATAAGTTTATTGCCATGTAGAAAAGCACTTTAAAGAGTTGTTCCATAACTGATTACTATTAAACAAAGTAGAGGTAGACTTTATGTCTTCAGTTACCCTCATACACTTATATATTGCTGGCGGGAATGTAAAACAGTGCAGCTACTTTGGAAAAGTCTGATAGTTTCCTAAGTTAAATTTAAAATGACTACCATCTGAGCCAGCAGTTCTTTTTTTTTTTTTTTTTTCCCTAGTACCAGGGATTGAACTCAGCACCTTGAGTTTGCAAGGCAGGTGCAGTGCCGCTGAGCTAAATCCCCAGCCCATAAGCCACCAGTTCTACTCCTAAATATATACTTAAGAGGATTGAAAACATATCTGTACACACAACTTTTATACAAATATTCTTAGCAGCGCTATTCATAATAGTCGAAAAACTGCAAAAAATTCAGATTTCCATTAACTAATGAATGGATGAATAAAATGAAGTATATCTATACAGTGTAGTATATTCATACAGGCTTATTTATCAATGAGCCTTGAAACATTGTAGTAAGCTAATTACCAAAAGCCACATGTTATATGATTCCATTCATGTAAAATGTCCAGAATAGGCAAATCACTAGACATAGGAAATAGACTTATGGTTGCCAGGGACTAGTATATTGGGAAAATGAGGAATGAAGAATGATCACTAATGGGCATAGGTTTCTTTTTTGAGTGAAAAAAGTATTGTGAAATTATATTATCGTGATGGTTGAACAACTTTGTGAATAATCTAAAACCACTGACTTGAATACTCTAAAAGGTTGATTTTTATGGTTTGAATTGTATTTCAGTAAAGCTGTATAAAATTAAATACAATTATGTATGATATAAAATAGCTCATGTTTTATTTCTTTAAAAATCCCAAGATAAATTTTCTCTCACCTTAGAGGAACAACTCTTTTCCTGACGAGAATAATGTTGCAAGACTTCAGGAGGAACTTATTGCTGTGAAACTGAGAGAAGCAGAAGCCATTATGGGTTTGAAAGAACTTAGACAGCAAGTCAAAGATTTGGAAGAACATTGGCAGGTATATTAATATATTTTAGGTACTTTCAAAAAAGAAAGTAAAACACCAATATCCAATTGGTATTAGTTTGAAATAGTTGATGATCAACAGTAGATGAGTTTAAAGTGAGAGAAACCTTGCTTAATGTCAGAATTGGACCACATTTATTACTTGAAAGTACACTTAAGCTATTTTTCTTTTCTTTGTTGTTTTTTTGCGGTACCGGGGATCGAACTCAAGACCTTGGCACTTGTGAGGCAGGTGGTGGCACCGCTAAATCCCCAGCCCCTAATGTTTCTCTTTTTAAGTCTTACACTGAAGTAAAAATTAAAAATCAGGTCATATTTTTGTTGCACCATTGTGCATTATATAACCCATTCTAAAGATCTATAAGAAAATATTCCTTTTATATAGTGTATATTTTTCTTAAGTTGATATTAAATCCATTGTTGTTCAGTGTAAAATATCAGAAGGTTGATGCCAATTTAAATTTATAACTTCTTTTGAAAGTGTTTTTTTTTCCAGAATAAATGACACTTAGCTAATTATAAGCCCATAAGTTTATCCATGTATGAAGGAAACTGTTGACAAGGAACAAAATGCAGTGATCTGAAAGATGGACGAGAAGCCAGGTGTAGTGGTACACACCTATAATCCCAGTACTCTGGGTGGCTGAAGTTGGAGGATCACAATTTTGAGCCCTGTGTGGGTGACATAGTGACTTAGTGGGACCCTTTTTCAAAAAGAAAACAAAAGGGATGAGGATGTAGCTCAGTGTGAAGGCCCTGGGTTCCAGTACCACCACCTGTAGGGAATGGGTAAAGGAACATTATCAGGACCTCTACTGTGGGTCCTGGCCTGCGAGCCACCACAGCACAAGACAAATTAAAGAACAGACAGAAAACAAGACTTAGAATGACGAGCCTGGGTCTTGGGACCTGGTCAATGCTGCTGATGGCAACAAAGACAAAATCCCCCAAGCACAGTCAGTATTTATTGAATACAATCATGAGAAAGGAATAGGGAGCTAGGGAACTTTGAAGTCATCTAGTGAAATACTGTTCAACACCTGGCATGATGACACCAGGCAGGGCTGTCAGGGAGTCGGCACTGCTTATCTTGCTAGGATAGAAAAAACTGGTACTGGGACCAGGCACAATTAGCAAGCAACCCACAAGGTCAGTGAAAAGCAATAATTCAGGGGAAAGGACTTTAATTGGGGTCACACTGACCTCAGCTGCACATAACTCAGCAGAGCCCTGTCACTTCACAAACCAGTACTTAGGCCTCAGTGACAGCCATTAGAAAAGGAGCAATGCTAGCCCAATTCTGCTACCTGACATGCCATATAAGGCTTGAGTCATATAAGGCTTTGGTCTGACTCCTGATATATAACAATATAGCCAAATTAAGGAAAGCAAGAAGCATATGCCACTCATAACCCACTAGGTGGGGATGTCTGCTACAAGCACCAAAAAAAAAAAAAAAAAAAAGACGAAAGAACAGAAGAGAGAGAAATAATAAATTACACAGTTTCAGAATAGTGATCTTGGTTTGATTGGGTGGGAAGGGAGAACAGAACATCTGAAAAAGACTGAAATTGGCATTGATATTGCCATCACTTCTTTTTAAAATATATTTTGCAAAAGCAAGCTATATAATAAACTGGAAATTAAATGAAACTGGTCCTTGAAAAATACTACCCTAGCTTCTAATATTGGTTCCTTAATGAATGGCCCCATTTTCTCCTTTTCTTGGGATTTCATTGAAGATAATATGAAAAATATCTCATTAAAAAATTAGGGTGAGGGCCAGGGATTTAACTCAGTGGTTCCAAGCGCAAGGTACTGAGTTTGATTCCTAGTACCAAAAAAAAATTAGGGTAAAAATTGTATTTCTTTTTTTTTTTTGGTACCGGTGATCAAACTCAGTACCTTCCACTTGCGAGGCAGGCGGTGGAACCACTGAGCTAAATCCCCAACCCAGAAAATTGTATTCTTTATAAAGAATTACTTTTTTTTTGTATTAAATTGTTTTATTGGTACATTGTAGGTATACAACACAATTACATTTCTCATTGGGAATTGTACCTTTATATAATGCATCTTGGTTCTTATTTTTTCTCCATTCCTAGCCCTCCCTTCACGCCCTCCACCCTTCCCTATTTACAAAGACTTTATTTCCATTTTTTCCATTTCTCATCATTTTTTCCTTTCCCTTCTTTCCTTTCCCCTGACCCTCCCACTTACCCCTACCCCTTTGGACCTTTTCTTCCTATTTTACATTATCGATTATTCATTCTAATCATTGGTACATTTTAGGTATACAATATAATGACATTCATCATTGGAAATTTGCACCTTTACCTAGTCTCTCTTGGTTCTTATTTTTCACCCTTGCCCAGCCCTCCCTTCAACCCCTCCAGTCCTCCCTATTTACAAAGATTTTGTTCCTATTTTTCCATTTTCTCATATTAATCCCATTCCCTTCTATCCTTTCCCCTAGCCCTCCCACTTCCTTCCTCTTTGCCCCATTTCTTCCTATTTCACATTACCTCTTATACATTTAGTCCTTATTTACACTTTCAGTTTCTCACACCAGAGAAACTATTCGGTATTTACACATCTGTGTCCTATTTATTTCACTTAAGAGTATTCCCTCAATGTGCATCCACTTAGCTATAAATGTCTCTAATTTCTCATTTTTTATGGCTGAGTAGTACTCCATTTTATAAAAAAACCACATTTTCTTTATCCAGTCTCCAGTTGATGGGCATTTGGGCTGTTTCCAAGATTTAGCTATTACAAACTGCGCTGCTATGAACATGGGTGCACATATATCACTGTGGTATGATTCTTTTAATTTAAAGAATTACTTTTGAACTATGTCTGAGTTTGTATCCCAGATCTTCCACTCACTGGCTGTGTTAACTCCTCGGAAGTTACTTAATTACGATATCCATCTTTCTTACCTGTAAAATGAAGATAATAATTCCTGACTTTTAAAATTTACTGGGGATTTTCTGGGGAAATGTTTAATATAGTACCCACCCTGAAATAGATGCTCTGTAAGGCTCGTATCTGAATACTGAGAATATTTGTGGCAATATTTTTTATGCTTTAGCGCCACTTGTCTCGTACTACTGGGAGATGGAAAGACCCTCCCAAGAAAAATGCTGTGAATGAGTTACAAGATGAACTGATGACCATTCGACTTAGAGAAGCTGAAACACAGGCAGAAATTAGAGAAATAAAACAAAGGATGATGGAAATGGAAACACAGGTATGATGAGAAATCCCAATAGGTTTAAAAGTATCATTAGCAGATCAAAGTTTAATGCATAGATTATATCATTCCTGGAATAAAGGTAAAGATGAAGCTGTGAAACTCTGTAGCCTACAGTTTTCTAGCCCAAATGAAGAGTGCTAAAAGTTGTTTTTGATTTCAGAGATTTAATTTCTGCTTTCGCCCATTCAACAAAGTTTACACTAATAATTATATTAAGCAAATATATTTCTTTATTAGGTAAAACCCATAGAGCTGTCTTATTGCACAACTTGAGAGGGAACATTTATGTAGAACAAAATTTCACAACCTCAATACTTAACATATTGGGCTTGAAAACTCTTCATTTTATGGAGCTGACGTGCACTGTAGGATGTTTAACAACATTCCTAACCTCTACCCATCAGACACCAGTAATGTCTCTCTCATCCCAGGTCATGATGACCAAAATTGTCTTCACACCTTTCCACATTTCTTATTGTGGGGCAGAATTGCCCCTATTTGAGAACTACAGATGTGGAATATAAAGTGAATCATGCTTCATCAAGTTGTGTAATATGGTGACCCTCTTCTTAAGTCCTCCCTTTCTGTAATAAATCCTATCTTATATTTAACTAAGATTTTCAAAAACCTTTTTACAAAACCCATTTGTGTTGTAAAAGCACATTTTTAATGTAGTACATTTGCGTGGATCATTTTCCCTTGGTATTCATGGGAACTGCAGGATCCCCACAGATACCCAAATCTTAGATGCCCAACTACACTAATATAGAAAATAGTGTAGTATTAACCTTTGTATATTCCCCTATAATCTATGGAGTACTTACACCATGTAACACAATGCAGATGCCATGTCAGTAGTTGTTGTTATACTTGTTTAGAGAATTATGTGAGAAAAAGGGTATCTATGTGTTTGGGACAGATATAATTTAAATAAAAATATTTCTAATCATTGGTTGAATCCATGGAAGTGGAACCCATGGATACAGAGGGCTTGTACTCTTTGAATGTTTTCAAAATAGTCATCAGTCAGTAGGGGGCATAGTTAACTCATGTCTCATTCTATACTCCTATATGCAGAGTAATCATCCCATCTCAAACATGATAGCATGAGTATATTTCTTTAGAATAAAATATATCTTGTTTTACATTGTTCAAAATTATTTTCTTATATTTTTGTGTAATTAAAAATGATACTGAAGAGGAAGTGTAAACTTTGAAGTGTAAAATTCTAGGTGTTATAATGGGAAATTTTATTTTTATAATCAGAATTTATCTTAGTATAGATAATAAAAACAGATGCAACTTTTAAGACAGTGTTGTGGCTCTGTCTCATAGCAAGTGGAAATGAATGAATCAAATTGACCAAAATGTGAAACACAAAACCATTATCCAAGTCACTAAAAGACTTGAACTTGAGAAATCAGGCAGGCAGAGACAGTGTTTATGATGATTCAGAAATCTGCTAAGTGGAAAATTAGAAAGAAACTGTTATCAATACAAGGAGAGAAAATTAATTCCAATTAGGTGGTTTCTGGGAAAAGACTTTCTATGGAATTTGTATTTTGAGCCCTGTCAGACAAGTAAGTGTGGTTTTGGATAGAATTCATTGAAAGGGAGATTGTGTAAGGCACTAGTTCCTAAAGGGCAGCACTTGGAATAGTAACAAATCAGTTTTTCTCATTGAAAACTAAGAAAAAAAGTAGTGTAATGGTGGTGGTATGTATTCATCTAAAAAATATATCAAACTCTTACATATATATACCAGCTAGACTGAGATTTCTCTTTTATACATGTAACTCTTAATTCCTCCATTGAATTTTTATACACCATATTTTTGATCAGCCCTTGTACTTTTCAAAATTCGATCTAACATGATTTTTTTTTCCTTAAATTCTTTTATTGGTACATTTTAGGTGTACAGTACATTTACATTTATCATTGGGAACTTGTACCTTTACATAATGTATCTTCGTTCTTATTTTTTCCCCATTCCCCTGCCCTCCCTCCAGCTCCTCTACCCCTTGCTATTTACAAAGACTTTGTTTCCAATTTTTCCTTCTCTCGTATTTTTTCCTTTCCGATCTTTCCTTTCCCCTACCCCTCCCACTTCCCCTTCCCCTTTGCCCCTTTTCTTCCTATTTCACATTAT